ATATAAAACTTCTTGATTATGTATCTCACAAATCCACATTAACATCACAAATAAAACAAGATTCGCTCGATTTTTTTTACAAACACTAATTTGAATTTTGAACGTATATTATGACGCCACTTTATTTTTCAAGTTTTTTTTTCTTTTTCGTGCCACTTTATGTAGTAGATATACTTTTTTAAAACTCGAGCACTGAAATTGACAAGCTCACGCGCCGACTAACCAATAAGATGAAGGCACCGTTTCCAGTTTAGACGTGAACAAAGATTATTTGACATAGAATGGACGTTTTATCCACTGTATATTCGAATTCTCAAGAACTACACATTTTCAATTTACTTCCACAACTTAGCTAATGCCCACGTTTGATATAAATAGTGTATTTTAACCTACATTAATATTATATGTATTTTTTGTGAAAGTATAATAAAAAAGTAATCTAGATTTTAATTTTAATTTCATTTTCGACCTACTAAAGTATTGGCACATTTATGTATTAATCTTTGATTTGCACGGTCTAATAATAGTTGCGCATGCGACGTCGGCTGGTTGCGTATCAGTTTTGGGTTTTTATTGTAAGGCGCGAGCGCGATGTATTTCTGGAGCTAATTCAAGGAACATTATACAAGAACAGTGATATGAGTGTTATGGGAGGCATAGCTGCTTTAAGATGACGAGCCTGTACGTCATTTTATCGTTTGCCTACTTAACAAATTAAAATAATTTTCGATTGGGTAAAAATCAAGCTGCCTCTAAAATCAAGCCTCTAAAATATCAAGAAGTCTATAATGTTAAGAATACAGTACATATATGAATCATATTTTTCGAATTGTAATAATAATAAATATACTAGGTATCCGAGCGCTATGACATGTCCTTCTTCAAACGAGGCTTGTGGAGAGTATTAAGCGGTAGGCAGCGGCTTGGCTCTGCCCCTGGCATTGCTGAAGTCCATGGGCGACGGTAACCACTCACCATCAGGTGGGCCGTATGCTCGTCTGCATACAAGGGCAATAAAAAAAAAAAAAAAAAAAAAACCGATATAATAGGTTAAGGAAAAGTTTCTTCGCATTTTAAAAAAAATTACAACATTTTTTAATATAGTTTAATTACATATTTTAACTAAAGTATGAAGGTACCATTTTGTTCGATAACTTTTTGCCATCTTGTAGGTAGGGGCATGATCCCATGGCTATAGAAGTTTTGGGGCTTCTGATCAAAATACCGCGACAATTTGTTTTGATGGCAGTCCTCTCGTGATGTTAGCCTGACACTGCCTAAATAATTCTGAAGAGACCGAAACAGGTGGAAATCTGAAGGTGCAAGGTCAGGACTATACGGCGGATGCATCAAAACCTCCCAGCCAAGCTCTCTTAATTTTTGCTGAGTGGCTAAAGATGTGTGAGGTCTAGCGTTATCATGATGAAAAACCCATAGACCTATATAGTAGGGACACGACATATTGTTCTATACGTACAATTGCTTATATAAATAGCACCCATTTTGAAGGCACACACATAAACATATATCTATCTCGTTCTTACTCAGCACTTTAACTCGCAAGAAAACAATATAACAGTATTTCAGTGCGTACATAAAATGAAACATGAATATACGTAAATGTCTCCGTCTCCGTCTAATGAGGCGGAAAATCCGCCATGTTTTGCGCGCCAAATGTCATTGTAACGTCAGTTCGGCCGTCTGTTTTGGGTTGTACATTATTTATTGACTTTCGTATCGATTTAATATGATTGCTTATATAAAATTTCTAATTTTATCATGCTTAAAACGTCCAAAATTATTAATAATAAAAACATATTTTATAGGATCTCAAGAAGGTCGATGCCCCAAAACTATTATCTATATATATTTAAATTCATTATGGAGCCCTCATCCGAAACATGGATTATGCACACCATTTTTCGGTCGGAATCTATTCATCATGACACTAATCATAAATACCTCTTTAAAATATTATGTCATCAAAACATATTTAGACATTCTGTTTAGATATTTCGGAAAAAAGGCTACCGACAAAATCTCTTCGGAACTATTTAAATAAAATAGTTTTATTCCGCAGTGAGTAAAACACTATTGTAAATTCGTTAAATATTTATTAATTAAGTGATTTTAGAGAGGAAGTCACAAGGAATGACGTTTGTAATTTCATTAACGAATAAATGTTCTGTAGGTGTTTTTTTTTTATCAGGTGGTCCCTTGATAAGTTTAAAATTTGAATCACTCTCAAGTGAGAGTGATTCAAATGGTGCGGTGCACCTTCCTTGAGGTGCACTGCGGTAGTGTGTTACGGACTTTAGAGTCAGCAAAACAATTAAAATAGATTGTAATAGTCTAAGAAAAACACGTACTCAAAATACGATAACATTCAGCATGCTAGAAATGGGCTGAGGGCACTGTACTATGCCATATCTTTATGTTTTGCGGCAAACGACAACTTTATAAAATCAGTGTAGCAAATTGTAAAAATCGTCATATCGTTTACTTGGAAAATTTGAAGCACGAACTCGTCTTAGATTTCACATAATATCTAAATCACATCATCTTTGCACATAACAATATACTTAATTCCTATTAAAGTATAAATTCTACAAATACATTCATACTCAACAACATTTAAAATAAAATAAGCCAAGAACGTTTATCGATAAAACCTACTAACATTAAAATCTTCTGGGCAGCACTAAAGCCGCCATGTTTTGTGGCCAGATGACGTCACAGTGGCACGAATTTTTTGTTGACGTTTCATTTCCATAGGTTTCCTACTTCAGTGGAAAAACCACACCCCTTCTGTTGATTAATTCCAGCCGCTTTCTCTCAACTTCTTGCTTTAATCTCATCAGTTGTAATCTCGCAGTAGAGTTCAGAATCGATGGTCCTGCCTGGTGGTAACAGCTCACAATGAATAATGCCCTTCCAATCCCACCACACACACAGCATCAGCTTGTTGCGAGTTAACCCGGGCTTCGCCACAGTCTGTGAAGCCTGACCGGCCTTTGACCACAACCTTTTTCGCACGTTCTTGTCGTACGTGATCCACTTTTCGTCACCAGCTATCAGTTTTTTCAAAAATGGTTCGATTTCATTACGTCGTAATAAAGATTCACAAATGAGTATACTGTCCATTAGGTTTCTTTAAGTGAGCTCGTGAGGTACCCCAATAACGAGGTTTTTTGTGCACCCAGTTTTTTTCAAATGCGCCAAAGCTGTTTTGTGGTCAATTCTCAATTTTTCAGCTACATCATAACTACTGATATGCCGATCTTGCTCCACTTTTTAAAAAATGGCTTTTTTAAAAATGGCATCCATTTTATCCGTAGGTAATAGGGCGACCAGAGTGACGTGCATCTTTGACATCAAAATTTCGGGACTGAAAACGCTCTAAACCAAAGTGCTACTCTCACAGACACTGCACTAGGTCCATAAGCATCGCAAATTTTTTTCGCGGCTTGCGTTGCATTTTTACCTTTTTTGTAGTAAAATTTTAAAATGTATCGAAATTCTTCATTACATTCACTCATCTTGACAGTACGAAAAATAAATATAAATCACACATTTTCCTAATTTGATTTTGTAATTATCCTCTTTAAAATTTAATCTTTTAATGATAGCAAAACCAGCCAGATACAATTAATATAGCCAAAGAGATTTTATTACAAGTTCATACATACTACAATGCGAAAAGTCTTTTTTCCCAACCTATTAATACGATTTCTTGAATTTTTCACATAAATTTTGAGGTTATATGAAAAAGTGTAATCACAAAAGTTGTAGGTCTCTTTATTATCTACAACTTTGTCATTTAATTTTGTTCCATAGGAATTGTAGTTTTTCCGGAAATCGAGATAAACCGTTTTTACCCTTAAAACTCACCCCCCCCCACTTCTCGACCTCAGATCACCCGTAAATTATTTTTCCTTTCATTTTTGTTATATTCTCGTCCTTTTTTAACGAGTTTCATCCTAATAAATCATTTTAACTTTTTAGCATTATCAAAGGCCTAACAACATATTTCCATATAGCGGCACCTTTTGGTAAACTGGGAAACTATTTGTAAAACGTTACATTTTGCAATAACTTAATATTCTATTAGAGCCGTTGATTGTCGATTTTACTAAAATTGGTATGGCCAGTAATATTAAAGAAATCAGTGCTTTAAAAATGAACACAAAAGATATAGTACTTTTTTGAATTTGTTCTCATTTAAATTTGTAATAATAGTGAGTATTCAACATTTGTAAACAGATCTGGTTTCGTATGACTGTCAGATAAAATAAATGTTGACTGGATTGGATGTATGCAATATGTGCCCTTTGCTTGTACATGGGTAAAAGAATAAAAAAAATGTGTTTTGAGAAATGACAGCTGACGAACTAGGAATGCTGATTCTTTCCAAAAACGATTGATTTATAAATCGATTTGAACCGATTCACATTAAAATTATGCTTGAGACGGGTGAAGAATTTATTCGAACAGTTTGAGCTTTTATTTACCAGGAAAACATTAAATTACTTACACACGAGTCAATAACTCCCATCACACAAGAGTTTATTAATTTATTATTAATTTATCAGGGCGCAAATATTTAAATTTCAGTCAACGTAACACATAACAATTTAACAAACAAAAAAGCTTTTTGGTTTCTTATTGAATTATGAAATAATTTTAAAATTAGTTGAACGCCTTCAGAGAGTTAGAAAAAGAATTATTTCTCATCCTTAATAAAAACTTAATAATGGCTACACGACTAACACTAATCCAGCAGTTTCCTTCGTATTATATTCATATATATATAACTATATGTTCGATTCCAACATAATTGTAAATTGTTTAGAGTTGCGTTTTATTTGAAAAAGTATTACTCCATTCTAATCTCAATTTTAAACTGTTTCAAATAAAATCACTGTTTTTTTTTGTAAAGATCGATTTAAGAATCGATTGTTTTGAAAATCAGGTCCAAATCGCTACGCTGTCATAGACAACGTAACTGTCAAATGAAACCTTGTGGATCGTCTTTCTTTCTTGTTGACGTTTGTTCAAGACGAACGTTATTCTTTCGGCATTACACGTTTCGTGTCAATTAGGACTTAAAAGTAAGTTTGAATAACAAAATACTGTTTTTATTTCAACGAAATTAATATGAGCGGTGTGCGTTTCCTGATTATCGTATGAATTCTTTGATATTGATAGTGATTTAAAAAGATTGAAAACGCGGGCTTTGCTGTTTAGTTTTGTTGAGGTTATGTTGTGTATGAATGTAAAGGTGAAACTAACTTACGGTTATCGTGCATACTCCAATCCATCAAACGAAGATAAACATAGTTTTGCACCATAAGTTAATTTATTTATTAGTAATAGCGTACATAGTCAAAGACGACTAACTACCCATTAACTTCTTAGGCTCTAACGATGTCCAACAAAAATACAACTACAAATCTTATTTTCTAAGCAATAATATGTTTAAAATCTATTGTGTTGTAGAATGCGTTACGTGGCCGCGTATTTACTGGCTGTGCTGGGTGGCAAGACCACGCCAGCTGCCGCTGACGTTGAGAAGATCCTCAGCTCCGTCGGTATCGAAGCTGACGGTGAGAAGCTTAAGAAAGTAATCACTGAGCTCAACGGCAAGGATGTTGAACAACTTATTGCGGCCGGTAAGTCAAATATATAATTTACTACTTTTTTTTTTTAAACCTATGCTGTTAGCCTTGAGAGGCCTTTTCAGCTTCGCCCTAACATGTGTAAGTGAGCTCACGGGGCTCAAACCGGAGTGTCGCTAACGCTGACCCTAGCAAGAGCAGTGCTTCGCAGCATGTACCACCGGAATACTAACTGTAATAGTTGTTATTTGCACCTTAGCCCGCGTTGTCACAGTAAAGAAAGTGTAAGTGTAGCTACTCTTGGGAATAACATGTTTATTTGGGATAAAAAAAGAACATATTTTACTCCTGACCCAATACTGTCAAAAACAATTCAGTTAATCTGATGCTTTCGTTTCGACTTCAAATAAGGACAAATACACATTCACATTTAATTTTGGTACGGATTTAAAGAGTTTCAATGTAATTTTTAATTTTATTAGAAGCATTCAAATGACCTCACATTTTGGTAACTTAAAGTTTAATAGTTATTAAAGCACTCTACCTACCTTGAATATTTTAGCCATTAAAGTTAGAAACAGAAAATAGTCTGCGGAACTAAGAGTTTTCTTAACTCAATCAATGATTTATTAAAATCTACACAATAGCACCTTGATTTCAACAGGTGGGTATATTTTAGCCATTAAAGTTAGAAACAGAAAATAGTCTGCGGAACTAAGAGTTTTCTTAATTCAATCAATGATTTATTAAAATCTACACAATAGCACCTTGATTTCAACAGGTGGGTGTAATAATTTCATATCTATCCGTTAGTTCCGGTGGTTACCAGGTAGGGCTATTGCCACCTATCTATTAAAAGAACTGAAAATTAAAACTACACAAAACAATATCAAAAGAAACGACAATGATAAGCACTGAATTTTCTAAATCATGTACTCCCATTAATTACATCTACTCCACGATCTTTCTGATTCAGTACTAGTGACCTAGTACCTACACCTATTGTAATTGTAACTGTAACTTAATTGTAGTTGTAATATGATTATATTGATTATAATGATGAAATAATATTAATAACACCATCTTTCGTCTGAATGACTTTGATGCTATCTACTATTCTGATATTCCTTTTTTATAACTCTAAAGAGGTTGATTGTTGTGCATATCTGATGTTGTTTATGTGCTTAGGACGTGAGAAGCTGTCGTCAATGCCAGTAGGAGGCGGAGCACCTGCAGCGGCCGCTGCAGCTGCCCCAGCTGCTGCTGCTGCTGAGGAGAAGAAAGGTAATTTCAAAATCAAGATAAAAAATGTAACATCGTTAATGACAGGACTATTTCAATACTGAAACTGTGTAGATAATTTCTGTAATTAGGTACTATTTCACCTATTTTGGTGGAGAATCAGTTGCATATTCTGATTAAAATAGCTGGAATATAATTTGTGACTGACAATGTTGATAACCAAATGTGGTCTCTAGACCACACTACAGGTCTATGACACCTATGAGTAATTTTAAGCTATTTTATTTAGCTTCAAATGTAATTAAAATCCTTTTTTTTAACTTGGCCTATAGTTATGTAATAAGTAATCTATGTAACTAAAAGATTAAATGAAGTCCCAATGCTATTAATTTTATTAGCAATAGAAAATTCAATGTGATGATTTTCAAATCAACACCATCTTTCGACTGATCAAACAGTGCTGCATTCTTATTATCTGATGTTTTGAAAACAGAAGTAAATTATACCAATTTTGAATTCTCTGTCTAATCTTTCGACTTTGAATTACAGAGGACAAGAAAGAGGAGAAGAAAGAAGACTCTGAATCTGACGATGACATGGGCTTCGGTCTCTTTGACTAAACTTTACAAAGTGAGTATATAAGTTACTTTTATAGATTTATACAAATATTAGATGATATATTTATATATGAATGATTGATGGTTCATGTTCTTACTGCCCTTTGTGGATTCTTTTTCCAATTGAGCTTCAATTTGGGACTTTATGAAATGGTAGACCTCACAATAAATTAGTATTCATTGAGACAAAGCAATAGTTATGGCAAATACTGGCAAGATTTTTTAATGTCCTTAAACAAAAAATTTAATTTGAAAATCATGCTGTACAAGAAACTCAATAACTTTGAGCTGTTGGTCTACCAAGTGAACCTGCTCAATGTATGATCACCTGTGTGCTTCTATAACGTTAGGGTTAATTAGTTGGTAAGGTGGTTGGCGTGGTTTATATCTTTAAATAAATAGGGAGTCAACATTATGATTTGAACGTCTTCAAAACAAAAAAAAAAGGGGCTTTTTAATAGATAACAATTTTGAACTTTATTGGAATACATGATTTGAGAATTACGTGATTCAACACCTGAAAGTTATTCAAAAGATAGGATATTGATTATTTACTAGGTCAGGTCTTTCAGTTTCATCACTTAAATTATGTCATTCACTCATTTAAGCAATTAAGAATTAAACAAAATATGTCATTCATTAATTTTGCGTGTTTTTTGTTTGCAGAGTACGCGGCGCTGGTCGCTATTCCAGTTTATGTTTTAAGAGTAACATGAGATGGCGAGTGTGTTTCTATGAAATATATTTAGCTAAAAAAGTTGTTTATTTTATTTACCACCTTTTATTAATGCTGTTAAAATTTTCTAAATATACTGGGTGTACTGAGAGAAGACCGCTTCCAAAAACGAAGACAGACGATAACACTAATGAAAGCTTTGATGATGGGATCGAAAAAAAATTCCATTGCTGGTTTTTTTTATTAAGGTACTTTTTATGAAACTATCGCTTTATTTAGCTGTACTAACGCGATGGGCCGTATATGAGTCGTCTATTATCAAAGGTGGCAATATGTGCATTTGGACAAAAAAATGTTATTGATATGTCAATACAGATTGATTTGAATATAATCGTCTCCTTCAAAGAATACGGTTCAAAACATGCATTAAATAAAGGTTAATACTTAACCTGTTATTTATCTAAGATGTCGTTCCGAAGAGTTTTGTGACTGCCAATGGAATACAAAGTCAATAATTCGTTTTTCTGATTTGCCAATAATTGTCCAAAAGTCAGATTGCCGGCTTTGATAATAGTCTACTCATATAAAGGTAATAAAACGTTTTATAAATATGATTTTTAATCAGGATCGATATCTGTCTTCGTTTTCGGAAGCGATCTGACCCCCAGTATACATTTTGATACCTACAACAAAAGCATCTCCAGCTAATGTAGCGCGGTCTAGTATGTTCGAGGCCTTAAATTAATGGATTCATCAGAAATGCCGAAGCCGGTGTCTAATGTTGAGTCTACAACATGCATCCTAGGTAAAGGGTCCGTTCACGCAGACCGGCGCTCTGAGAGGAGAGCAGATTTTTATCACGTTGGAAACTGAGTTTTAAGTAATTGTAGTAAAGTTTATTTTTGTATGTCCAATTTTTTTGTCTTAGGAATTCTTGAACGCGCTGCGTGTGAAATAAGAAGAGCCCACCGGCTCGAAAGCGACCTGTAATCGTGCGAACGCACCATATAACCACCATATTTAAAGGTTGAATAAAGACTCATGGTTCTCTGGTAGTCTAAATTCGACTATAATGAATTGAAATTATAAGTTTGTAAACTATTATGATTCTATTGTCAAAGATTAATATACTTCTATAATCACAGATTTCGCCCAGACTACACTTTAGACAAATATTAATCAAGACAACTTTTAATCTATTCTCAATTTGACCAGACTTTAAACAATAAACAAACAGTATTCATGCGTGGGTGTGTCAAATACATGGTATTTTTGAAGTGAAACTTCTTTATCGGCGTTGGAAAAAAATTTACCGTCACATTTTTCGGTTACGCGTCACATTTTTCCGTTACGCGCCATCTTTTTGAAGGGAAACTTCTTTATCGGCGTTGGAAAAAAATTTACCGTCACATTTTTCGGTTACGCGTCACATTTTTCCGTTACGCGCCATCTTTTTTGTATTCATGTCTATGATAATAAAATCCTTTTGTTTAAACTTTATCTAATTTAACTTTATTTAACCAATTTCTAGAAAGTTGCATGTAGATCATTTTTCGAAAAATAAGGCCATAAAGAAGTNTTTTGTATTCATGTCTATGATAATAAAATCCTTTTGTTTAAACTTTATCTAATTTAACTTTTTTGTATTCATGTCTATGATAATAAAATCCTTTTGTTTAAACTTTATCTAATTTAACTTTATTTAACCAATTTCTAGAAAGTTGCATGTAGATCATTTTTCGAAAAATAAGGCCATAAAGAAGTTTCACTTCTTACATGTGTACACTAGTACACGCACACATTTTTTTATTATTGACTTAATGTATTTTGCATAATTAAAAAAAAATATTAACATTCTGCACTCCTCTACATTCTATAAGTGTGGGAAATTTCATACTCCTTCGTCTGCGCAATTGTCGTGAAAAGGGGTACCTACAAAGTTTTTGCTTCACGTAATAATATATAGATTATGACGTCTGCATGCTTTTACAGAGTGCCGCGGCTGGTGATGTATAAGCAGTGTGCTTTATGCAAGTTTTTTTAAGTTCTCGATAGCCTAAAAGTTAACTAAATTTTGTATGCAGTTGGAACAGCGCCCCTAGCGGCAAACGTAGGCAAACGATCCCATTCCATACAAAAATGAGTTAACTTTTACGCTGTCGAGAACGTTAAAAAACTAAGGACAGTGCAAACTGGTTCCAATTTTCCTAAAGAAACAAAACTCGTTCGTATTCATAAATGACTTCCGCGATAAAGGAATAACATTGTCTATGTATTAAACTAAAAAAATATATTTTACGTAAAACCATACATGTAAACAAACACCTCAAGGTGTGTTAAGTATTAAAGCTGTGATTGAATCCGATATTCGCTTAAAATCGTTTTGGACTTATTTACCTGTCAAGTCATAATTAAAAGGAAATGAAAGTAGGTAATGTGAGTTAGGCTTAGTCAGTCTGCAGGGATTGTATTTTCAATATATACTTAGCCTTTAAAGAAAACAAATTTTATAATGAGAAAATTTATTCCATAGGTAACCTACCTACGTTCAATGATTTTCTACAGTTAATTTGTGGCGTAAATTTAATGCCATCTGTATTCAATATGATGAAACAATTTTGAAATTTATACTTGGTTTCATTACAGTATGTCAGTAGATGTCGTTATTTACAAAAAAATTGTCAACAAAAAACTTTGTCTCGACCTAAATTAAGGAAAAATTTAAATCAATTTACAAAATATGTAGTTTGTTGGTTTGTTTTTAAGACTTTAAAATATTGTTTACAAATAATTATTTAACCTTAACAACTTTAAGCTATTTAATCAATATTATGACACTTCTCCGCTTTTTTTTTATTTTGACTTTTTTTAGGTCGAAGGGATTCCGTCACACGTTTCTTGTTTTCTTGAAGGAAAAAATCTTTATTTTTTTTCATCATGGCAATAGTGTCATCTGTAAAAAAACGTACTTAGTAATAAGAATTACAGCAGAAAATAATATTTTCGAATGATTTATTTATAATTATTATTCTTATAAGTGTATATGACACGAAACTCGAAACTTATACTCATAATCGACAGCACGAAAATTGTTTTGACATACGGTAACGTAAATCTCGAAGGTTGGCTATCGAGTACTAGCATCTAATGTAATGACTCGTTTTCGTGTCGAGGACTCGATACATTAACACAGCCTTTCCCAAAGTGGGTGTTATCGCCCCCTTGTGGGCACTGCAGGCCTAAAGGGGGACGTTAAGAGACCCAGAAAAAAATATACCTCTGCACTCCTCTAAGCTTCTAAAACTTCCACCGGCCTCTTTAGGCAGAATCTCCACGTCGACATATTCGGCCAGCGTGTTAGACCCAGCGGTATGGGTGTTCACCAAATGCATCATTTCAGACCCAACGAACCTCTTCAAGATCATTAGCAGTCGGTTGGCGAAAAAGGGCGCGTTCATTAAATGTATGCCCTTTAATTGTACCAGCATCGCGTGCTGTAATAAAAAAAATACATGCTCATACGTTGTCTTGAAATAAAAAACCAAGGCAGATGTTTTAATACGAATCCGTGTGAATTTTGATTTATTTACCCTTTTTCAAAGAATGTAATTTAGAAGGAATGTTCTTTATTCTTTGAAATTTAATCCATTTCAAGTTAAATTAAAAACAAACAACTTTTTTGCTGGTACGCGGTGGATCCAGGAGCTCTTTTTAAAAAATTAAGGAAACTGTGACTGACACTGAGTTTATTTTATAAAAGAAATAGTTAAAACGATGTGCGTTTTTCCTACTCAAGCCAAATTTGTTCTGCAGCGCTTTAGCAATAAATCGTCTTTATATAGAAACGGATGCATTCAAGAATGCTTTAGTCTGCATTATTTACCTATTTATATTGCATTGTTATTGAGGAGCATATCGACGCTTGAAAGGCAAACGTGACTAAGCGACGATGCGTGAACTTTACAGTAGACTAATTTAAAGTTGAAATACCCGAAAAAAAATCTATTTTAACGAATCTAGCTGTAGGTTTGAAATAATTTTAATAGACCTAGAAATATATTTTTTTTTGCGCATCGAATATGGTTATTGCCTATCATTTATGTACAAAGCAGTTATTGTCGCTTAGTCACGTTTGCCTTTCGAGCGTCGATATGTAACAGTACCAACGCCCTGCTTATTTCTGCCATGAAGCAGTGATGCGTTTCGGTTTGAAGGGTGAAGCAACTTGTTGTGATAAACAGCTGAAATTTAGAACTCTCAACTCAAGGTGGATGGCAGTATTTACGCCGTTCACATCTATGGGCTCCGGTAACCTAACGCAATAAAAAAGCTTAATAACGCAATTCTAAACAATAAAAAAAATGCAATAGGTAAATACGGTAACGCATCTGTCACACGTGCGTATTTTATACACACGTCGTGAATTTATTTAATTAAATGCATAATATTTATATACAGTATGCATCAGCTCCTTTGTTTTTTATGCATTAGAACTTGTTACAGTTGATGTTGACGCTCGAGAGCAGTGCTTCCCAACCTTTTTTGTGCCACGCCCCACTGTAACATTTCTAAAAATTTTATGCCTATACATAATTTTTAGCATTAAAAATCTGAATTTTTCACATAAGAAACATAAATGATAGGTTTTAGGAAGAAATCACTATGTAATTGTTATCAGAACACAGTGAGTAATATCTCAAAACATATGATATAGAACAAATTCAAATTAAAAATAATTATACATTAATTTAGTGCGATACAGATTTTCTTTATTAATTTAGTGCGATTACCCCCCCCCCCCCTTAATTATCAAATTGGCCCCTTGTAGGGCGTGGGCCCCACGTTGGGAAACACCGCTCTAGTGAATATGTCAATGAGAATCAATACATTTAATATAATTAAGTGTAATTACAACAAAATGCGACCGAACTTCGCGAGTGAACAAATAAAATCATACCTCTAAATAGTGTAAGAATTGCTGAACAGTTTGCAATTCAAGCCGGAACATGTGGCTTAATCTGAAACCCTCCAAGTCGAAGATAATGACTAAACCGGGCCATGTGCCTTCGAGATACTGCCATAGGTCGAGAACCATTAATACTGACCTAAAAACAAAACGTTAAGTATTGAAATAAAATCTTTAAAAATAAAATAGTTTACCGGCATTCAAAATGTTTTCGATTTTTATAATGCTATTATTAGAAGGGTACATTGCATGTACATATCGACGCTTGAAAGGCAAACATGACTAAGCGACAATAACTGCTTTGTACATAAATGATAGGCAATAACCATATTAGATGCGCAAAAAAAATTATTTCTAGGTCTATTAAAATCATTTCAACCCTACAGCTACTAGCTAGATTCTATTACAGCTAGATTCGTTAAAATAAATTTTGTTTTCAGATAGGTATTTCAACTTTAAATTAGTCTACTGTAAAGTTCACGCATTGTCGCTTAGTCACGTTTGCCTTTCAAGCGTCGATATGTAACGAAATCTTTGGCTTCAAGAATTCCGATTAACTTGAATATTTGCAGAAGTTTTTTTTTTTTCATTATATATCCTACTTCATCTAGTAACCTCGAGGGGTTATATTTCAGCGAACGAGTAGACGGGCTCACGGGGCTCAGCCTGGCCAATTTGCTAACACTAGCCCTAGCAAGAGCAGTGCTTCGCAGAATCTACCACCGGATCGGAACCGCGACCCACTGAGAAGATCCGGCGAGAAACTCAGTGGGCTGCGTCTATGTTCAAATTTGAGTACCGGTGGCAAGCACTGACCCAGTGAGAAGGTAGTTGAGTAGATAGATTTAGGTTCAGAGGTGAAATCCATTAAAAAAAATAGCACGTAAAGGAATCCGTTTAATACAGCCACAAACAATAAAAATTACACGTTAACACATATAATAATCATGTAACCACAAGAATACAAACAATAAAAAAATTGCGCACTTAGTGAAATAAAAATAGCTCACGTGTCCTTTAAAACAATCTACGGAGATTCAGTTAGACCTTCGGTCGTTGCGAGCTCTGTGTGCTTAGCGCGAGTTTTTTTACGTTCTCGACAGCGTAAAAGTTAATCCAGTTTTGTATGCAGTTGGAACAGCGCCCCTAGCGGCAAACGTACGCAAACGATCCCACTCCATATAAATATGAGCTAACTTTTACGCTATGGAGAACGTTAAAAAACTCGCACTAAGCACACTGAGTATCAAAAAAGGGAATAGTCAACGTCCTCTGGTTAGAGCCCCGTGAGCTCACCCATTCGTCAGGTTACGCTGCTATAATCCTCTAAGGTTAACAGCATTGAATAGAGAAAAAAAAGACATTCACGAAATAGGTTACGATAATTTTTTTATTGCTTAGATGGGTGGACGAGCTCACAGCCCACCTGGTCTTAAGTGGTTACTGGAGCCCATAGACATCCACAACGTAAATCCGCCACCCACCTTGAGATATAAGTTCCAAAGTCTCAAGTATAATTAGAACGGCTGCCCCACTCTTCAAACCGAAACGCATTACTGCTTCACGGCAGAAATAGGCAGGATGGTGGTACCTACCCGCGCGGACTCACAAGAGTTCCTACCGCCAGTAATCTTGTGACCTTTTTTATTAATGTCTATTTTGTGGTTGCATGATTTGTTTATTAACTCGTTCGAGAATTACGGAAAACTGGCTTTTAACTAAGACTGAAACAGCTATGATTACAAACCATATTATAGTTTTTTTTTTTGTATTCAATTAAATAAGCATCGGGATTTTCCACGGACAAGTCGCAACCGGAAAGATTAGCTCAGCTTAAAAATAAGACGACCTCGCTCCGGGAAACTCCCACGGTTTGGCGTTTACTTACAACATACCATAAATACAACTTACTTTAGTGCTTCTTGCAAGATTAGATGTTTTGGTTCAAAGTCGAGCAGTCGCGAATAGAACACGGCGTAACCGTCTTTAGTGCGTGATGGTAGGGGTTTGAGCAACCTGTAACGAAGAGGTTTTTTTTTAATCCTACCTATGCTGATGAGCCTTGAGAAGCTATATCAGCGTTGCCCTAGTGTGTAGGTGAGCTCTCACGGCTCAAACTGGAGGTGTTGCTAACACTTTTTCAATTTTTTTTATTGCTTAGATGGGTGGACGAGCTCACAGCCCACCTGGTGTTAAGTGGTTACTGGAGCCCATAGACATCCACAACGTAAATGCGCCACCCACCTAGAGATATAAGTTCTAAGGTCTCAAGTATAGTTACAACGGCTGCCCCGCCCTTCAAACCGAAAGGCATTACTGCTTCACGCAGAAATAGGAAGGGTGGTGGTACCTACCCGCACGGATTCACAAGAGGTCCTACCACCAGTAAATAGCTCTTGCTGGCCCTAGCAAGAGCAGCGCTTCGCAGAATCTACCACCGGGTCGGAAACACGACCTACTGAGAAGATCCGGCGAGAAACTCAGTGGGCTGTGTCTATTAGATTGTGCAATTTACTCGTCGAGGCCTTCGTCGCAAGCGACGGGTTCGACGAGGTCGGTGACCGGTGCTTGTGGTACCTAAAAGAACTGTTAATGGATCAGGAGGATCCGTAATAACGTGTATCGTCCGTAAACCGACTTTACTGCACTGCTCTTGCTAGGGCCAGTGCTAGCACCACTCCGGTTTGAGACCCGTGAGCTCACCTACACGTTAGGGCAAAGCTGATATAGCCTCTCAAGGCTATCAGCATAGGTAGGAAAAAAAATACGGACGTTAGTTTATGTAATAACGTCAATAGCAGAACTGTTCGAACTGATAGCTCTGACGTCTAATGAGAAGAGAGATAAATGTGTCACAAGCCAACGCTTGGGCCGATCGTCGCTCTCTATTGCTAATTTCGCGCGCTCGCTTGAACGTGACACTTTTTCGTGCGTGCAGCCGCTGTTCATCGATTTATAAGACGTTATCACGTCAAAAGAAGACCGACTTCTACTTCTAAATTGGTTCGCATAGCAAATAGTTCTCAGGTAACACATATATAAAGGAATAAAGTCCATTTAAGCTAAGGGTTTGGCGAATGCTGTTGAGAAAGCTAGCGGAATCGTCATGAACTTATTAAGTTGAAGTTATTTGTTAAGGAAATTTATTAATATATTCCTTATTTAATACTGTATAAACTATTATATGTATGTATGTATGTATATGTGATTGTGTATATATATATGTATATATCTTATTATACTTTTTTGTGTATCTATTTGTAACTTAATATATTTTTTTATTCCGACTACCACTATTTACACTGCACTACCTTTGGTTGACTGGTAGAGAATGCCATAGGCATTAAGTCCGCCAATGTAAAGTTTACATGAAGCGTAATAAATAAAATAAATAAATAAAAATTTAGAACCTCCTCTTTTTTGTTGGAGTCGATAGAAAACTTACATTCTCTTCAATGTGAGTTCCATTTCATCGTCGAGCGTTCGATTTTGGAAAAACGAGTACTGAGTCTTCAGCGTGTAGTGTAGCTCCAGCACTTGTTTCGTTTGCTCCGGATTCCTCTTGCAGCTATGATGGGCTAAGATTAAATCCATATCTGTAACAAGATTTTTTTTAGTCGTATCAAGATTACTCAATATAATGAATTAATAATTTTCTTTTTAATTGATAATTCAAGAAATTCAATTCATCCATTATTTGTGAATTATTATATAATTTGGCAACTTCTGGTAAATGTTAATATTCAAAATGATATAATCAATTTATTTCCTCGGAGGTTTAAAATAATAATCGATTTTTCTATTTTCTGTATGTAATTAAAGAAATTTAATTAGTTTTTTTTTATGTAATATAATTATGAGTCACCCTTAGTGCAAAATTTATAATTGTTAGAAAAAAAAACCAAATATTTATTTATATGTTTTTGGAATATATGTTATATGATAAAGTTTCCGCAATAAATTAGTTATTTTAATTTTGAAAAATAAAATATATAAACTATAAGTTTAAGTAAGATTCCAGTATTGGGGCGGATTTTTTTCCGGTGCCCAGGAGCGGCATTAAGATTAAATCCGGCCCTGCAAATATGTATGCAGTTGGAACAGCGCCCCTAGTGGCTAACGCAGGCAAACGTTCCAACTCCATACGAATTTCGAGTTAACTTTTACGCTATCGAGAACGTTAAAAAGCTTGAACTAAGCACAATGGTCCTTGAACGTACAAACAAAATCGAACCCGCAAAAGTGATAATTTTGCGTAGTCATGGTGATCGGGCCTAAGACCGTCGGGGTATGTATCACCCCGTTTCCCATTGTTTCAAAGATACCATAAATCGCGCTTTGAATAGTATAGTCATTCTACAATTATTGAATCTCATTTTTCAGAGTAGCTGGATTCATACCCTATGGGTTCCGATAAAAATCTAACCCAAGCTATTAAAAAAAGTTCTGGTTTTACTGGTGGTAAGAAGTCTCGTGAAGCAGTAAAGCGTTTCGATTTGAAGGGTAGGGGCAGTCATTGTAACTACACTTGAGACCTTAGAACTTATATCTCAAGGTGGGTAGCGCATTTACGTTGTATATGTCTATGGGTTCCAGTAACCACTTAACACCAGGTGGGCTATGAGCTCGTCCACCCATCTAAGCAATAAAAAAAAAGTGGCAGTGATTCTTGATTGATCAGACCAAGGTACAGTCCTATAAAGACCAACCGAAACATATGTATTTTTAGTGCGGCATCTTGTGAGTCCGCACGGGTAGGTACCACTAGCCTGCCTATTTCTGCCGTGAAGCAATAATGCGTTTCGGTTCGCAGAGCCGTTGAACTGTAAATCTGAGACATGTCTCTGGGTGGGTGGCGGCACTTACCTTGTTGATGGCTATAGGCTCATGACTATCTAACGTCAGATAGGTCCTGAGCTCACCCATCTAAGTAATAAAAAAAATCTTATCGAGCCTAGAATACAATATCAGGGTATAATGCAATATCCCGCAGGCATGCACCGATTTTATTATTAAATACGTCCCTAACACTAATGACTTCCACCATTAAGGAATAACGTGGTATTAATGCATTTGTGGCGGCATTTACATTGTAGATGTCTATGGGCTCCAGTAACCACTTAACAATCTGGTCGGCTGTGACCTCGTCCACCCACCTAAGCAATAAATAAAGTTATTTCCAAAGCCTTTCTGACAACATAGACGTACCTGTAATGACATCACTTGGCAAATGAGGTTGTGTCTCCAGCCAGCTTCTTAGTTCAGCTATTTCCCAAGGCGTGATGCCGGTGTTCTTCTTGTACTCTTCCTCCAGTGGGAACCCAGTAGACGGACTGAGCGACATTATCTGAAACAAACATTTAATTAGCATTCACGAACCACAGAACGTAGCAGCGAACCAAGAAATTCATGATTCGCATAGGTACGTTCAACATAAGATTTCGGTCCGATATTTTAGACTGTTTGTTGATTTATTTTTTTCTTACCAAATAACTTAGTAATAATTAATCGGTAGTTTTTTTTTTTTGTTTGTTTCTAACCTCAAACGAAACGTAACAAACTGAAAAAGTCTCACGCGAAATAAAAATAAAACTACTATGCAAAAATGATACAAAAAACGATTAATTTATAATGCTAAGGTAGTAGCGTTTTGCTTTCCTGAATGTCGTCGACCCCCGCATTTAGTACAATAATTATTAGACTATTTAGAATTAAAATTCGTTTTTTAGATAATGACGCATTTTATCATCGAAATGTATGATTACAGTATACTTAGATTAAAATCGGCACGAGCGAAATTATCGTCAGTATTAGGATTGTAATCTATACATATAAATAAAATTGGAGTGTCTGTTTGTAATATTGAAATAACCGCTTTTTACTACATGCATATGAATATACAGTCAAACCTGGGTAAGTGAGAACTGGATAAGTGAGAAAACTCTATAAGTGAGAGTAATAGCCAGGAACCGTCATTTTAAGCTCCCAAAACCTCTATTAGCGAGAAACAGAAACCTCTGTAAGAGAGAGGCGTTTTTCCCTCATGGACCTCCGTAAGTGAGACTTCTACTTATCTATACCTCTATAAGCGACAGTCGAGCTTTATTTATTTACATTATTTAGGAGGAACAAATGAAAAAACAAATTACAAATTTAACATCTGCTATTTTATGACTCATTCTTAACTTTTGTGGAACTTTCTTCCATTGTTTTTGTATTGTTTTCTCGTCAATATTGAACCTATTCTATTTTGTGGAACTAAATAACGTTGTTATTTTATCGCATTCTTTTCGAGTGGACACGTGTGCCTCTGTACCGTCCTGTTTGTCGGACTTACTCAGCTTATCGTTAATCAATTGCGAAGGAAAGTTCTGTTCTGCATCATGTCAAAACGGAAAATTAAAGTACTGTCGTTAAGTGATAAACTTAAAATAGTGAATGCGTTTGAATCCGGAAAATCGCGAAATGAAATTCAGAGGGAGTATTAGCGAGAAACTCGGGTTAGTGAGAAACCTCTATAAGCGAGAATGAGATTGTGCTCCCTTGAACTCTCGCTTATCCAGGTTTGACTGTATATACCTACGGTACATACACCAAATAACATTTTTTACAATTTTTGTCTGTCTCTTTGTTACAATAAATAATGACAATAAATAACAGTGACAATAAATAATAATGTTAATTTTAAATGTCCAGCGAAGCGGGCGAGTACGAATAGTTATTCATAAATGTATTAAACATTCAGGCAAAATTAAATACAAAAGTTTCCAATTTGCTAAGTGACAAAAAGACGGCGCTCAAATAAATTTGTTGTTATGACTGCCGAAAGTAAATAACGGGTCTGTTTAGTATTACTAGATGATGACCGAGCCTTGCACGGTTTTTTTTTGATAACGCCATCTTGGTTAGTTGCCCTCAATTAAGAAAAATTGTATTATTATTCGCCAATAGATGTCGGGAAGAGTTGAATAATGAAAACACGAATAAAACAACATTTTCTGAAAATAAATCGTAACTAGATCGATTCACCGCCCCCCGAAATCCCCTGTATACTAAATTTTACGAAAATCGTTGGAGCCGTTTCCGAGATTCAGATTATATATAAGTATATTTACTGGTGGTAGGACCTCTTGTGAGTCTGCGCGGGTAGGTACCACCACCCCACCTATTTCTGCCGTAAAGCAGTAATGCGTTTCGGTTTGAAGGGTGGGGCAGCCGTTGTAACTATACTTGAGATCTTAGAACTTATATCTCAAGGTGGGTGGCGCATTTTCGTTGTAAATGTCTATGGGCTCCAGTAACCACTTAACACCAGGTGGGCTGTGAGATCGTCCACCCACCTAAGCAATAAAAAAAAACAAAAAGATATATACAAGAATTGCTCGTTTAAAGGTATAAAATGTTACATTGCGTTTTTTTTTCGAGACTTCGACAAGCTAATTAATACATAAACACAACCCACAGAGTTTCTCGCCGGATCTTCTCAGTGGGTCGCGATTCCGATTCGGTGGTAGATTCTACGAAGCACTGCTCTTGCTAGGGTTTATGTTAGCAAATTCTCTCAGGTTGAGCCCGTGAGCTCACCTACCCGTTGGAACGTAGTTGAAATAGCCCATTAGGCTACTATCGAATAGGCAAGGATTTTTTTTTATCAGAGATTAAATCAAAAACTAACAAAATACACACACACATAAACTTGTGCGTCAAAAGGTCCAAACACAAATCACGAGTCATCATCATCATTATCCTGCCCTTCTCCCAGTCACTTGGGGTCGGCGCAACATGTTTTCTCCTTCCATACTCTTCTATCATATACCATTTCTTCGCTCACTCCCCTCTTACCCATATCGTCTTTCACACAATCCATCCTTTTCTTCTTAGGTCTACCTCTTCCTCTATATCCTTCCACATTCATAGTTAACACTCTCTTACCAACCTCATTTTCATTTCGCCTCATCACATGTCCATACCATCCCAAACGCGCACTCCTCAGCTTCTCTGTCACAGATGCCACTTTCAGACTTCCTCTAACATATTCATTCCGTATTCTATCCATTCTCTTTACTCCACACATCCATCGCAACATTCGCATCTCTGCTGCATGCAATCGCTTTTCATCAAAAATCACAAATCACGAGTCATCGTCTGACCAAATTAATGTTTAACAAAAAAAATTAATTTTCATATATTTTGTAGTGTAGACGTTTAATTTAAGCTATAGGTATGTATTTTTTGTTTGATTTTTAATTAAAAAAAAAATTTGTTGTCATAAAAAACACAATATGTTCGTCGAGACCAAAAAAATAGTTAATTACGATTATTGCAACACTAGATTTGGCACGCGATGAAACTCGCTGTAAATTTTTAACGAAAAAAAAAAAAGGTTTTTTATTTTTTTATTGTATAGTTTGGTGGACGAGCTGTCGGCCCACCTGGTGTTAAGTGGTTACCGGAGCCCATAGACATCTACAACGTAAATGCCACCACCTACCTTGAGATATGAGTTCTAAGGTCTCAGTATAGTTAGAACGGCTGCCACACCCTTCAAACCGAAACGCATTACTGCTTCACGGCAGAAATAAGCAGTGCGAACTCACAAGAGGTTCTACCACCAGTAAATTACTACTATCTTTGTATAACAAGTCTGTTAACTGTCAATCTTTTATGAGACTTGAGCTTATTACCAAAAATCCTAAATCACGACTTTTTTTATTTAACGGTAGCAACCCTTACTTTTTCACGATTATGAGTAGGCGTGCGAAAGATTTTATGAGCAATTCTCTACCTGCCTATGAAAATTCCGTCAAATGGGTCACGTGAAAAATTGGCTCGGGTTCTGATTAAAACAGTCCCGTGGACCGACGACCTAGTCAAAATATATGATTAGAACTGAATGCGGAACGCATGAGACTGGAAATAAACTAGAACATATTATTATGAAGAGATCTACACTCAGCATTGAGTAGACACAGGCTGAAGAAGAAAAAAGATTATTAAAATGCATATTTCGCTTAAATTATTAACTTTGCTACGAAATCACAAACAAACACTTAGATTTTATTAAATAACTAGCTGACCCGGCAGACTTCGTAGTGCCTCAATCGACAAATAAAAGACCTAAACTTTTGTATAAAATAAACTTAAAACAAACAAAAGGAATCCGTCCGACGGAGGACACATCAAAGGGAAAACAAAATTGTTATTTTTATTTAATTTCGAGCATTTTCATATTTATCTACCTTTTAAACCTTCTCTGGACTTCCACAAATAATTCAAGACCAAAATTAGCCAAATCGGTTCAGCCGTTCTCGAGTTTTAGCGAGACTAACGAACAGCAATTCATTTTTATTTAAAATAGTTCTACATTGTAAACTTTTTATATCGCAGAATGCGTCAATGCGTAATCAGTTTGTAACATTTTATTTAAATACTTTATCGTGTTGAAATTATTTATTACACGATTCAGTAAATCAAAATGAATTCAAGTTTTATTAATGCAATTATATTGATTAGGTTCCGAGCTCATCCACCGCCTCTTAATGGAAATTGTGGAGACGACGGTAATTCCAGAGGTGGCCTATGTACTGCTTATGTCTTCGATGTGTTTTTTTAATGCTTAGATGGGTGGACGAGGTGTTAAGTGGTTACTGGAGTCCATAGGAATCTACAACGTAAATGCGCCACCCACCTTGAGATATAAGTTCTAAGATCTCAGTATAGTTACAACGGCTGCCCCACCCTTAAAACCGAAACGCATTACATACTACTTCACGGCAGAAATAGGCAGGGTGGTGGTACCTATCCGCGCGGACTCACAAGAGGCCCTCCAGTCATATTTGGATTTGATATGAATGTTCTGTAGAATCGAGTGGTGGACTTGATGGAAGACGCATCGTGTATTCATGACTCTCATTTTAGATGATTAAAAACTTCATGTACGTCCTTCGATTACATTCGTCCTTCCATTTTACACGCTTTATATGTTAGCTTCACTTGTATGTATGTTTGTATATTTGTAACTGACTCCTTTATATGTAGACGCGATTTTGACTCACTTTAAACGGCCAAATTTCATTCAAACTTTGTAAATTTATTGAGGACCGATGATTGAGGATAATAATAATTCTTCTACTCATATCTGTCAGAAAAATATTTATAACTAATAACACCGTGCACCCCACGCTTTTTTTACACTACACTATTTACAACTCCACAGTGCTCAATGCCCATTCGTTTTTATTTATTTATTTTTTATTGCCCTAATAAGCACACGAGTATTCGACCCGCCTGATGGTGAGCGGTTACCGTCGCTCATGGACTTCAGCAACGCCAGAGCCAGGGCCAAACAGCATAGCTGGTGGGAGAACGTCTTGTAAGTCCGCACCAGCGCCCTGCCTGTTTCTGCCGTGAAATAGTAATGCGTTTCGGTTTGAAGGGTGAAGCAGCCGTTGCACTGTTACAAGTGAGACCTTGCAACTCATGTCTCAAGGTTGGTGGCGGCATTTACGTTATAGATGTCTATGGGCTACGGTAACCATTTAACATCAGAAGGGCCGTAAGCTCTTCGACTTATCTAAGCAATACAGAAAAAATAATTATTAGATATCATATCAGTCTTGTGAAACATATTAGGAGTCTATATTCCGATCTTGCATATATAGGTATAATAATATACAACCCGACCCCCAGGACGAAATCCGAGTTTGAAACAAACAAGGATCGAATATATACCAACAGCTGAAAGGCTTATGGGGCATTGATGCAAAAAAAAAAAAAAAAAACCTACCTACCTAATAAGACGGACCTTTAATTACCAAGATAAATGTAGCGTATTTGCGAAATGACGCTTAAACCAAATAGACGCTCATCCCTCGATATATAATATATACATATTGAATATATAGAAATCCAAGAGTACTACATAGGTACACCATTACAATTTATTATGGCTATCACATTCAAAATATATTTTTTTCGTATGATCGATCTTGGTTTGCGGCGGACCAGCTGTGCAAATTTCACTCAACCTACTTTAGAATTAATTATTGTAATGATACCATTTTATTTTTTACGTCTGCTGATAGCCTTGAGCAGCTATTTCAGCTTCTCCTTGACGTGTAGGTGAGCTCACAGAGCTCAAACCGTGAGTGTTGCTAATACTAGCCCTAGCAAGATTCGCAGAATCTATCACCGGATCGAAAACGCGATCAATGGACCACGTTTACCCACTGTACCAGACTTAATTCTTACGGGAACTTACTACGTACTACTTACTTACTTACTGTACTGGAAGTTCATTTCCTGAGACCTATTTAACACGTAACATCCAGCTCTGGAATTAGCTTCCGAACTTTCGACAGCTGTTGGCATCTATTGTTAAGCAGCTTATTTTTAAACTATATAGCTGTACCCGTCCACTTCGCTGGGCATTTCAAATTAACATTATTATTTCTCACCCCCACAAAGATTCTCTACATTAACGCCCCCGCAACTGGTGTAGGGAGTTCAAAACTCATATAAATATTAACCTATCCATTAAGTACATGTATTTTCTACATGGATACCCAAGTTTCAAGTCAATCGGATGCACGGTTCAGTAGTTATAACGGAACATCCGTAAAAACCACTGTGGATTTATATATTAGTATAGATATAAAACTTTCTTTAAATATTCTGAAATACGTATATAGTATGTTTAAAAATGTAAGAAATATAATAATATATACCTAGTCCAGCCATAAGTTCTGTTACAAATGAAAATGCATTTTAAAAAAAATGAAGTAATGTAATATTATTAAAATTTATACCTACATATTTACAAAAGTCTATAAATTATACTATAAAAAACTGAACTCTCTTTTCACTCAATGACAGAGAGATTAATAATTCCGTCTAAAAAAAAATCTTATAAAATATAAACTAAAAAAATTTATTTTAAAAGTAAAGAGTCTCAAAGATCTTAAAAAGTTTTTCTTTACATATACCTACGTATACTATAAAATGGATTTTTTTAACTCAATAAATTTAAATTAGTCACGCTCTGTAAGTTTGTTTAAGTTCCAGACACCTTATTCATTTTATTGTATACAAGTAATAACAACATAAAACATACCTCGTCTGTATAACGAATTACAAAATTTGCGCACAGAGAAAAAATCAAGGCAAAAAATAATAATTAATACGGAACTAATTTATTTGTTTTACTATGTATACGAATCACTAGCAATAATCTTTTGAAATACTAATAATAACTTTAATTATTATCAAACTGTGAGACGTGTACTCCCAACCAAATGAAGTGAGTAAATGAATTAATTTTTATGTTTTTAAATGTGTATAATTTTACAACGGCTAAAGTTCTTGTGTATGCAATATTCGCTCGTGATTGGTGTTTTAATCTGACACACATAGATTCGGGCATAAACTTAATTACCAATATTATTTGATAGCAAAAGAAACAGTGAAATTGGGATTTTGAAAATATATATTTCAATGGAATTCTGGATTTTCAGATATTGTATCAGGGGGGAAAACAGAAGACTTCGTAGTCTTGTAGATATCGGGGCTTCGGTCCAAAAGTGACAATGAGGTTGCGTGGTCAAGTCAACGTTCTTTCACGTCCCACCATCGACTCGCGTGGTGTCGTGAGCACCAGATCACCTCCGTTGAGGGTGAGGACGCGAGCATTGGTGTGAAAAATTTTTTTTGGGAACGAAGTTCCTTATGGGACGATGCGGAGGGGTACCCTAACCGGGAAAAAACGTCCGTAACGTAAGATTTTTATTAGTAATGCACACAGCGTACGACTTAACTTTGTAATGACGTACAAAAAATAACATATTTTTTTTATCATTCATTGACCACGAACTCAGAGCGTTCGTTTGCGCAATACACTAACTCTTATTAAATACGAACAATCGTGAATGAAGTGTACCACAATAAGTTCGCACGTTACCGAATGACCGTGGGTTGTTGCGAAATCTCCAGTTTTATTTTCTTCATACCTCGAATAGAACTTAAAATTAATATTTTTATAATAAGGAACTTCGTTCCTATCCGGTGTGGGAACAACACCACACATCTTTTTATTTATTTAAGTAAAACCCATTTAAGTGGAAAGTATTAATTCTACAAACCAGGTGTGTTGTTTGTTGTTTTTACTTGTATGCAATAAAATAAATAAAGTGTCTGGAGCTTAAACAAAATTACAGAGCGTGACTAATATGAATTTATTGAGTTTTCCATTTTGTAGTATACTAGCGGACCGCTTCGGCTTCGCTCGGTTATTTAACAAAAATTTCAAGATTAATAAAATTATAACACACACATAAACCCTTCTATTTGCGTTAGGTTACTAAAAAAAAAAACTTAAAAAAAAATTAAAATTATTATTTTAATGAATTTTTATTTAAATTTTTATGATTTTTTTTGTTGTTACTTTTTATTTTAGTTTTTGGTAATTTTTATTAAATAAAAATAAAAAATCTAATCTTCGGGATAAGTCATACATACAAAACAAAAGCTATTGAAATTTATTGAGTTAGGCGGCGTTTCCTGAAAACGATAATAATAATTGACGTTTTTTTTTTTTTTTTTTTTTTTTTTTTTTTTTTTTTTTTTTTTTTTTTTTTTTTTT